TATATTTAGTATTTAGCCTTATGGGGAAGGCTTATGTTCAGCAGTGGACAGTAAACGGAGACAAGTCTTCAGATAACTAAAAACACTAGGAAGAGAAATATTTCTTTTTTTTTTCTTTTTTATCTGTAATTTTTTTATCTTTGATATTTGTTGGACTTTAGAATGATTGTATTACAATAAAATTTTAATATAAACTATTAATATTGAAAAAATATAGTAAAGAAAATATGCTTACAATTATAATTTGCAGCTATAAGTATTGTTAGCTTTTTATTTGTCAGCGAGTTTAATATAAAATTTGGTCATAATTTAAATACTACACTATTAGACTTTGATCTTAGCCAAAAGGCCGAGAAGCGATAATTCAAATACTGTTATGGGAGCATATTCTTGAAACGTAATGTAAAAGAGAGCGAGGTTAACACATTTACATGGATTCATTACCTTTGTTAGCGTGGTTTACCAAAATGTTATTCAAAATTACTTCAGGCATGATGAAACTAAAAAGGAAACTATTCGATATCGAGATAGCTTCTGTTATTGAACTAATATATATGTCAAGGAATGTGTTAATTAACCTAACACATTCCTTGAAAAAGGTTCGTTAGTTAGTTATTTAGTATTCATAAATATAATACCAAAAAAACTTTTTTTTTCTAGAAAAAGTAAAAATACTGATACTGATATTATTAAAAAATAATAGAATAGGATTCCTTACGTCATCAAGTCTAAACTTTATCTAGGTAAATATGCTTATTTATAAATATATGTTAATAATGATAAAATACATATTTTTTTTATTTATAAATATGTGTTAATAGTGATAAAATACATATTTTGTTTATTTATAAATATGTGTTAATAGTGATAAAATACATATTTTGTTGTTATATAAATATATAAAAATTCCGTGTCGCTAGATTCGTTCACATACTAATGTCCTAAACCATTCAATCTATTTTAATAAAATGGTAGAAAAGCGGATTAAATGCTCTCTAACTTGATAGATATATTAGTTTTTATTTCAGTAAGAAAAAATGGACCCCATGAATGGTGGTAGGATGCAAAACGATTTTTGTCAATGCAGTTTATATATAATTTTTAAATGTAATGTAATGTAACTATTATTTCCGATTTTAATTAAAAAAAATTAATTAAAATCGGAAATAAACAGTTATTTCGTTTTGCCAACCCTATACACAAGTGTTGCCAGTGTCCAACACGTGAAGTGTAATTCGCTTTAAACTTCCTGAAACCCTGACCTTAGTGGCCTCGCACAGAGCTAGCCTAGACACGGACTCACCTAGTACTTATGTAAAATTATTTAGTTAATTTACATACTTATCCGTTTAGAAATAACATAAGACAGAAAGGAGTATTAAGTGAGATCTTATTGGTAAATGTTACATACTCGTATGTACAGATTATATTTTACTGTAAAAATACCCAGATTGACTTATATGTATTTTAGTCGAGTCAGGCTTGCATTTGATTCACGGCTACTCGCCACTAAGAATCCCGGATGGTCTCTAAACTAGTCGAGAATGTTCGCATTAATTAAATGACAAAATTTAATAAGGTATACACAAATTTATAATTATATAGATATTACTCTCTGTTTAAATATTATTTAAATATTTGATATTTATTTTTGACAATTATTAGTATTATTTATTATATTTTTTATTTAATTTGTTATATATCTCATTTAGAGGTAGTTTTAGAAGCCAAGTTTTTTTGGAATGTCAGTTCAATGATAGGAACTTACGGACCAGGCGACATGTATTTAAGACTGCTACTTTTTGGAGGAGTATATATGTGGAGGGTTTTAAACTGTTATGACCTTATGCAATATTTCCTTTTGTAAAGCTACAGTCCGTCAAATAAAAAATTTGCATGTCAATGTTGGTAAAACATGTTACAACTACATATTACATGATTAAAATACCCAGTATGTATCTACTGCGCACATGTTTATGCAAATAAATGTATCTTTGTCATCCGTATATATCTGTATATCCGGAATACATGCAAGTCAATCCGGGTATTCTTACATTAAAATATAAAATGAGATATTTTATTTATATCTACGGAGTTGATGGAATATTTTAATAGTTATCATAAAAAAAAAAAACAAAATATGCGGGGAAAACATGTAAAAAGAAATAAATACTACTGTGGTAATACCAATGGACACACAACTAAAGTATTCAGCCATATTTATGTTTTTAAAAAAAAGGTAATTCATTCATATGTATTTTTTTTTCTTTTATGGCTATATTACACAATTACGTTGCCAGTCCTATGTCGATTTGGAGAATACTTTTTGAAATAGATAAGTTTTATTTCGGTATTTAGTCCTATATACAGGGTTAGTCGTAAATGGTTTACCAAGCCGAAACTCTATAGTATATCGATAGTATTAATGAAACTAAGCCATTTGAATAGAACAGTTAAAATTCGCAATTTTTTTTCAACCTCTCATACTAAATTGATTACACGACCGCGTAGCGTACATAGAAATTCAAAAATTTTTATGTATATTTATACCGTTTAAAATAGTAGTTTTTCGAACAAAAAATATTTATTGCGAAGCAACATCTCTACATGATTCCGTATTCTAAATTCAAACATTTTCAATGTAACGTAATAATTATTTTTGCTTTCCTTTTTTATTTTGTACAAATTTTATCTATGTAACCAGTTTCTAGCAACATTAAATTCTTTAACCAGTATTCTTTACCAGTCGCATTCATCATTGAAACCATTGATTCAAAATAAAAATTTTTGGCGCAGTGCCGACTGGAACGGAAATATAATTCACTAGTAATGCAAAGATGTACCTTGATGTAAGTACATGAAATGACAGTAGTTAGTGTAATTGTAAAATGTCATTGTATATTTTTATGTTTCTTGTACAATAAAGAGTTAAATAAATATTTTATTTTTAATATTTTTTTAGTAAATTGGTACTTATGGAACCCAAACATAGTCCTACACGGTTGCCCGTATACAAAAGCTTCATTACTTAACGGGCTCATTACTCAACCGACATAACCCGAAGGATAAGCAAGCTGAAAAGTAGACCACTAGATGGAGTAACGACGAGTTCTTTAAAATATTTGAGAATGCGAAAACCGACAAGTTGTTTTAAAAATACTACTAAATTACCTAGATTCAAACTTAGTTCAAATGACTTACCCTTTGATTAGCGAAAATTCCTTTTACAACATACTCAGATCACTCAGTTCCCTAAAGCATGCTAAAGTTACCTGAGGTTACCTCATAAATGTTATAAGAACTAAGGGTTTCGATCTTGAATCTTCCAACAGACGTTTCAATCTTAAATCCTTTTAAATATTTAAGAACGACACTAGAAATTATCTATTGCGTAGTTCTTTTTATAAAACAAAAATATTAAATTCAAAAACTAAAGTCTCACGATTGTGAAATTAAATGTTATACTTATTAAATACTTTATGAGCGACAACGACAAAACTGTTCTGTTTCTATATTTTAAGAGCAGACACCAACAACTTTTTTTTATCTTACTACCTCCAATCAAAATTATTAATTGCCACATACAAGAATAAATGTTTTTATGAATTATCGAGAATGTTGCCATGCAATTATTACATCTAAAGTGAACAGGTACGTAATGTCTAAAAATATGTAATTTTATGATAAAATAAGAAATACAAATAGATACCTAGAAATCTAAAAATAATATAGATAACTGACGAAATGAGTCCTGGTAACAAAATATAAGAACATAATACTATTTAATTTAAAACAGCTAGATCGTGACATGTTTACTGTGCGGGATAAAAATTGGCCAAAATCCTATGTATATGTGTGTATAACAAATTTCATAAACGAAGTCGCAGGTAAAAGCTAGTCTGTCATAATCGAGAATAAATAATACTAAATTTTCTGCTTGTCTCATGGTTAACTGGTAGAGTTACCATTAGGTGTTAAGTCCGCCATATGTGCATTTATTTATATTATAAAACTGTGCATTGAAATTTAAATAAATAAATAAATGATAGTAAACGCTGTACAATTACACCCATCTCCTAGTCCTCAAGCTTGGCCTTATGCTACATGGAGCCAGGCAGGGCACATTTGGAAACACAAAATGGAACACCCAGACTTTACCCAATTTAGAAAAGTTTATGTCTTAAATCGACACAAATATATAATATTTATATATTTGTGTCGATTATAAATATATAAATCAAACTGTGTGTAGGCGACACGTACTATTCTCTTTATATATGTATATTGTGTTCCTAAGATTTGTATAAACGCGGGAGACTAGACTCCCTACATTCTCTGTTAATAAATTGTGTTTTCCTTCTACATTCCCTACACTGTGTAACCTCTGCTCGTTTGTGTCAAGGTCACAATTTTTTTTTCCAAATATTTATTCATTCATTTACTGCACCACTTAAAGGACCACTTAATACAAAAAACACACACACACACGCACGCACGCACGCACGCACGCACGCACGCACGCACGCACGCACGGCCGCACGCACGCACGCACGCACGCACGCACGCACGCACGCACGCCTGGCCGCCCGCCCGCCCGCCCGCCCGCACGCACGCACGCACGCACGCACGCACGCACGCACACACACACACAAGTTATTAGTCATTTAAAAAAAATTACATCATGTCTGTGATGATCGACCATTTTACATTTTACAAAAAAAAGCATTAAAGTAAATTGCATATTAGAAATATTGTAGTAATAATAATAAATATACTCCATTAATATTTCGTATTATATAGGATGGAGACGGTTACTTTTTATCCCGGTCGATAAACATATCCCGGTCCTGCGAACGAAGTCCTCGGGTAAAATTATATAAAGATGGAATACCTGAAGACCAGTAAAAAATTAGTGAATTAGTCACTATATGGTAGAAATGGCCGATGACATCAGCTTGCTCGAAGCAAGCTGTCAGCTGTCGCATATATTTTAGTAGTATTCGATGCGTGTGCGCGCGCGCAAGGGTATAAACGTATTAATAAGTGATAACAGTATCATTGGCGTGCGTGTTCAGTACATATGCTAATCATGACTGGTGTAAGTTGTGCTTTTCTCTTTGTGCTAATACAAGTATTAGGATCTAGTGCACAAAATTTGATAGTGAACACTACCCAAGGTGCAGTCAAAGGATTTCTAAATGAAAATGGAGATTATTATGCTTTCTACGGTTTGAGATATGGCGAAACCACTGCAAAGGAAAATAGATTTTTGGTATGTGTAATTTATTTTTCACTAGCTGTAATTTGCGGCTTTGCTCGTGTGTATTAGTACATAAAGTATTTTATGTGTTCAGTTTGAATATAATCTAATAAATTTCACTTAAATCCGTTCAGTAGTTTTTGCGTGAAAGAGTAACATCCATCCATCCTATTCACCTTTTATTTAATATATAAATAACATGTATACTTTTTATACACTTTTCATAATAAATACAGATAAATAATAGTGGAAAATAAATGTAGAAATAACATTAAAGAACCTTAAACCTTAGACGCGAAATACCACCAGTGAAAGATGATAGATGTGGATGAAAACAGGTCTGTTGGCCCATTATGACGAATTTCACAAAAATTAACAACGACGGTTTCCAAGGTTAACCGCGTGGAGGTCGATCTGGTTGTAATAATATGATGTTGTAATATGAAGACAGAGTGTCTTCATACAAATCTATATAATCTAAGAGACTAATTGCAATAATACAATATAATATAATATTATATTACAAAGGTAATAAGGATAAGTAACAAAAATAAGAAGTAGGTACTACGTCATTCATTGTAATGATTAATAATTAATACAAGTGCATATGCGACTTAATACAAGTAAATACAAGTTTGTACAAGTGAATAGGTATTCGATAATATTACTTCACTACCAAATAATTTAAATACTATTATAATTATGGCGCTTCAATCGTATTTGATCTAGGGCCGTATTACTATGCAAAATAACGACAAAACATCGTCCAAAAATATTTTTCGAATTTTATCGAAGTTCTTACACATTTTTTAATTTTATTTGTTAGTTTTTATGTTTTACTATATTATATATTTTTTTATGTAATTACTATTATATATATATATATATATATATATATATATATATATATATATATATATATATATATATATATATATATATATATATATATTATACACATATACATATATTCTGCATTATTTGTTTCATGTTTTTAAACTCTCAGGTCTTATATATTGTTTTGTAGGAAAGTATAAAATGTTAAATATTTCCGAAAAGCTAGTCTCGTGTATATTTTAAATCATCTTTATGTTTTTAATCATGTTATTCTGTTTTTGTATAAATAATGAAATAATTTAATAAGAGAAATTAAATTATTGTTTGTATTCATCGAGAGTTTTAATAGTTACCCCCCTCTTTCCCACTTTTTGAATTTAGTATTAATTTGTAACGTACCTATAAAAAACAGTTATAAAAATTTACTGTGGATATTTGTAATTTTTCAAGTTATTGAAAAACTTGTGATAAAACTCGGGCACAGAACACGTGATCCATTATCGCGAATTTTAATATGATAATATATATATATATATATATATATATATATATATATATATATATATATATATATATATTTTAATTTTTAATATCAACTATCTATAGATATAGGTCGTTTTTATCTTTATAGACATTTATTTGCTAGAACATTGCTTTTACAGATCTTGATTTTATTGTAAAGTACAAATATTCGCTTTATAGTTTAAAGCATGCAAACTCATTGGTATTACAAGTTAGATTTTACAGCCTAGGTACATTATATAACTATATTACCTAACTATTATAACATTACGTCAATTATTTTATTTATTCTTTTTTGCACAATATAACTTTGTACAAATGACAAGTTTAATGCTATATGACATACTCTACCAGCTAACCATCAGGTAAAAACAGAAAGCGTATGAAGGGCAGATGTGGTGAAAAATATGTGACAATTACAGTAACACATTTAGCCAATAAACGATACATAAGAAATGCACATATAATACATAAACTTTACTTATAATATACACTAATACATATATATATATATATATATATATATATATATATATATATATATATATATATATATATATATATATATATATATATAAATATATGTAATGGTATGGTATTAAATATATGTATAGGGAAATATAATTTACGAAAGTACACCACACTCATTTTTGAAATAGAATTTAATGAGTTGATGCATTAATTCGAACCATGGTAAATTCAGAAAAATTGGGTAACCATGTTATAGAAACATTTCTTTTTTATACAACTTAGAATGACAAACAAGCTAACGGCCCACCTGATGGAAAGTGTTAACAATCACGTAACATCAAGTAGTAATTTCTTAAAATGAGAATGCAAATTTAAATCTTATTTATTTTTTATTTTGAAGCGAAATGTGACAGAATATCATGTTGCTGATAGCTGTTTAATTAAATTTCAGTAATTATTTTATTATTAGGGCAGCGTTCCTCTTAAAACATCTATAAAAAGCTTATGTCCAGCAGTGGACAGTGGCTGAAATAAATAAAGTAATTATTTAGTAGTAAGTAGTCGTGTAGATCCCGACATAGGTCGTAAGAGATGACTAAGGGAGCTTATGGTAGAGGGATGGGCAGCAGCGTTCCTTTTATAACATCTCTAAAGGCCAAACTGCGGTTGCCAACCCCCCTGCCAAGCGTGGCAACCACTGGCAAAACCTCCCTTATAGAGAGGACTATTGTTCAGCAGTGGACAGTTAACGACTGATACAGTAACAAAGTAATTATTTAAATATTATAATTATGTACTTTACACTTTTCTTTTCGTATTATAATATTTTTTTTTCAGTTTTTATTTTTTATTAATTATATATATTTTAAGATAAATCTATAAATAAATTTTCATTTCAAATTTAATTTATTTCACTAATAATAATAATAATGAAATCTTTATTTCGCACAGTAGAGAATATTTATACAGAATGTGCATATACAAAAGGCGGTCTTATCGCTAAAAGTAACCTCTTACAGACAACCTGGACTGGATTCACGAACCAGCTATGAATTGAGAAAAATAGCAAGTGATAGTGTATCTTTCGTCCTCTTTTTACTAATTATATTTACATAAGAGGAAAAGAGGCCACCATATGATTTACAGTTTTTAATTACATCGTCGACCACAGATATAGTGGCAAATATTGTTCAATGTTAGGTACATAGCAGAATTATTGTGCTGTTACTTTAAAGAAGAGTTTTTCCCAAGAGACTACAGCATGGGGTTTTTCAAAAGGGGGGTAAAGAGGTTTCTTCAGGGTCGGCAACGCGCGCGTAATACCTCTGGTATTGCAGGCGTTCATAGGCTATGGTAACCGCTTACCATTAGGTGGGGCGTATGCTTGTTGGCCACCTCAGTGGTATAAAAAAGAAGAAGAACTATCTAATTAAATAGATTCTATGGTAGTCGTTAACAATTACTTGTTATTATCTAACAAAATATTTATTTCATTTACAAATTGATTTTATAAGCCCATTGCACTACCATTTAGTCTCTCTGTTGAGCGTAAGTGTAGACTGGCTAGAGAATGCCATCAGGCATTAACTAAGTCCGCATATTTTACTCATATCTGTACACATATTTTAATGTGTGCAAAAGTATAAATAAATATATTAGTCTATAAAGTTGTATCCCGCGGTTCCGATCGCATTAATCAATACATAAAGTACTTTATATGCTATAGTTAAGATAAAACCTACTCTGTACCTTTCATTTAGTAGTTTTTGCGTGAAAGAGTAACAAATATCTATACATCGTATCAAAGTTTCGTATTTATTACAATGGAATGGTTTTTTTTCGAATCGACAGACGTTAATTTCATGGTCATCCGGCAGTTAATAGGTACGTGTTAGGTTTATTCCCGTAGTGGTGGCATATTAAATCTATTAAGATTTGTTAAAAACGTGGTTAGATGCAAAAGGTCTTAATCTTTCTGTAACCAAGAATAGTGTAGTTTTGTTTACAAGAATGAGATCACCGCAACAAATTAAGGTGTTTTATGATAACTCATACATTCCTATAAAGACTGAAATTAATTTTTTAGGTATTGTGCTAGATAATAAATTAACAGGTCTGTCCCACTGTAATTATATTTCCACGAAATGTGTGCGTAACCTCAATATTCTTAGGTGCCTTGCTATCATAAGTTATCAAAATAAATCCATAGAATCTCCCACTATTATATCGTCCTGTTTTCCCATTTATAAATGCTCATATCAATCTTTAGTTTTAACTCCAAACATTAAATATGATTTTGGGTTATCAAAAAATGATTCAGAATTGAATGCCAAATTTATGTTTATAACTGACATTGAATGGAATGATTGGCACTACATCTTTTCTGATGCATCAAAACCAGACAATAGCGGTTGTGTAGGTGTGGGTGTGTTTCATTCACAATTTAATATCGTTCAAAAAATTAAACTTCCACCGGAATCTTCAGTTTTTACCGAGGAATGTTATGGTATTTTAAAAGCTGTAGAATATATACTTTTAATGAAATTACATAAGGCAATAGTTTTCACCGACTCTATGAGCTCTTTGCAAGCTCTAGCCAAATATCCGTTTAAATCAAAACCAGTTTATCCCATTATTTGTGTCATAAGACAGTCTTTATCTTTGTATGTTAAGAGGGTATTCCGTTTTTTTTGCCTGGTTACCAGGACACAGTGGTATTAGCGGCAATGACAAAGCTGACTTTATTGCAAGAAGCTGTAACTTGTGGTGATATGTATCCGTATCATAATTACTGTAGTGACCTAGCTTGTCTTCCAAAAATATATTTAAGGTATGCCTGGAAGGAATATTGGGAAAAAACAAGTACAATAAAAGGAAGATTTTATCGCCATATACAACCCAATATTCCTTTCAAACCAGGGTTTTGTAAATTAAAGCTTGGAAAGACCGCAACTACTATGTTAACTCATATGCGTCTAGGTCACGTATGCACACCTTCTCATTTATACAAGCTTGGTATTGTATTTGTACAATACCTATCTTATCATATATAATACGCAATTACATGACGAACTTTGGTTCGTCGTGTAATTGCGGTGCTGATGTGGCGGACTTGAATCATATATTTTTCCTCATGTTCTAAATTTGACCACAGCTCCCTTTTTAATCATCTCCGATCCATCCGTGTTCCATTCTCAACTTCTATTCTTACTCTACTTTCTTCCAATGATCCTATTATCTATAAAATGCTATCATCATATATATATATATATATATATATATATATGATAACAATATTAAGATTTAGTTATATTACATGAATACATTTATAGTTGCATCAATTGCTTTTCCTATATATTTATAAGTATATTCTCTTATGTACAAGTATATCCTTCATATCCTATAAATATCCTAGACCTAATCCTTATCCTTTCTAAATTCGTTTGTGTTAGATATTTTTATTACTACTGTCGTTTCCCCGTTTTGTTCTTGGCAAAATACCCTAATATCGGGGTGAACGCCACAACAGAAAGAAAAAAAAAGTAATTCGATATAAAAAGCAGACATTGGTTGCTTTTTATTAAAAAAAAAAAAAACCGCGCGAATCCAGCACGGCTTGTACTGTATATATATGCATTATTATAGCTGCGTGTGTGACAGGTATTTTTCTGAAGTTAGTCACAGACCAGAACAGAGAAATCATCACTGTTTAACTACACTTAGTATTTAACCTAACATTGGCGCTACCAGACGTGTCGCCTTGGAGTGACTCACCTAACTATGTATAGTTTAATTTTGTTATCGACCATTTTTGCCGCTTCTGCGCAAGCGTTGATTGTGAACACAACACAAGGTTTAGTGCAAGGATCTAAAGCCAACGATGGGGATTATTTCCATTTTTATGGCTTGAAATATGGATCTGTGAGTGTGGAAAATAAGTTCATGGTATGTTTTATTCTTTATTATTTATTTATTATTATATCAGACGTAAACTGTTCACTTCTAAACATAGACTTCTTTTTTCATTTATTGCGACTTTGGTGAAAGCCATTAGCCAACTAAACATAGACTTTCCCATCATGGGGTTCTGGCAACTCTTGACAGGCAGTTGCCGTGCTTGACAGGCAGACTGGTAACCGCAGTTAAGCTATTGGTGATGTTTTTAGAGAGACATTACTGCCCATGCGATCTTTAGGTTCTCTTAGTTGCTTCTTACGAATGCTACAAGAAAGAAATAGGTGGGCCATTCTATGCCGGGACCACATGGCAAATTTATTCCTTTATATTAACAGTTAACTCGGTGTAGCGCACAGATATCATCGTTGGAATATTATCAGTTTACTAATCTTATCTTAAAACATAATAATACACCTAGTATGATGTCATATTTTAGTATGACAGTGTTAAGAATCCACTGTATTTAGTTATTGCTTTTTAAATATAATAATTAATTTTTATATTCATCTTTATGAGAGGAGAGAGACTTTGTACAAAAGTCGATTGCTTGGGTACCTCTGTCCCATTCGTGTTTCTACCGTGAAGCAGTTGTGTTTGCATGGCTGTGTTTCGGTTTGAAGGGTGGGATATGGCGTGAATTTACAGGGTACAGAGGAGTAACATCTGAGTCCTCAGGAATGGCAACGCATGGGGGGTATCATGGGCGAAACAGTATGTGTGTGTACTGTTCTGTCCATGGTACTGCTCATGTCTATAGGCGTTCGTTACACTTTCCATCAGGTGGGCCGTCAGCTTGTTTGCCATTCTAAGTTGTATAAAAAAAAACACTTGTACTACATTACTTTCATACAAGTTAACACAACATACGACTTATGTGTACACACGACATACCTTTGATAACGTTTTGATTACCTACGCCGAAACCGGTCAGATCATATAGGTGGGTAGCTATGTACCTAAATTTATATATAATATTTATTTTTTGACACATCGACAATGTTACATATAATTCGTAATATAAATTTAATATAAACATGGTAGTATATGTTTATCAGTTAAGATTTGATTATATAATAATCATAATATGCAAAAATATGTAATTAAATAATTTCTGGTTATTGTAAAAATATTGAAAAGGAGAGAAAGAAGTTATTTGGAGTCGAGACTCTGAGTCCGTGGGTTGCCTATTCTTTGGTCAACACATATCCATAGCCATTCAACGTGGAAATGTAGCGTCTCCTAGATGCCCTACCAGTTGGCAGTGACGTCAAACAAATTTTTTACCTTTATGTATATTATTGCATATTGTGATTAAATAGATTTTTTATTAAATATTTTTCCTCAATTTTATCACAGTCACATTGGCAAGGTAGTCTAGTTGAAAACCTATCTGGATAGGTATTTATTGACTGTAGTTTTTCGCCTGCTACTTCGTTGAAGTCATAGGTAAAAGCCAATAGCCAATCAAGTTTCCAATAATAACTGTTACACACAAAACAAACAGAAGGTAAGTTATTAGCTAAAACTCAATATATATTTATGCCCAAATAACTTTGGGTTAGTTGTTAATTTTGACTTATAAATTTTGCACGGGACTAACCTCTCAATCATTTACATGACGTAATACGATTTGTAGGGGCAATAGGGATTGTTAGTAATGGAGACTAAAAATCCCATTGCTATCAATTTATCCAACTAGATCGACCTCCTCGTGGTTTCCCTGGACACTATCATGGTTAATTCCTGATGAATTCATCATGATAGGCTAACTGGCCTGTTTTCATTCTCATCAATCACCCTTCATTGGTGCTCCGCCAGCGTAGCCCGGTAGCGCAGGTGGGGTTACCATTCCATATTCACCCATCAAAAAAAATACTATTTGTATGTAGAATGTTATATGTACCTATTAGTATGGTTGGTTTGTGTTATATGGATAGTTAAGCAGCATTATTCGCACTTGACTCATACGAAATTAAATCAAAATTACAATTAATATCGAAGAAATTACCTTTCTTGAGCAAAAACAATATGTATCTATTAACAAGGACTCTTACTGGACACTGCTAACTTAGTAAGCATATGGCCCCACTAGGTTTATGCTATAATTTTATGCAAGTGTTTGCAGATTTTGTCACAATGAGAAAGAAACGCCGCAGCACCTAATTTATGGCTTTAGCCCACTCATACATAAATAAAGTGTAAATAAATGAATAAAATACACTTTATGTCATGAGAAAATAAAAACATCGCTACAAAGAGCACCTTAAAATTTCTATCACTGATAGAAATAAGCAGCGAATTTTAAAGAAAGGGCGAGCACAAAATATGGAAAGGTTGCAGTGTCACAGGTTTTCCTACCTGAAGAAATCCGTTTCTCAATAACAATAATAATATATGTGCCTAACTCCCCATGGGCAGGGATGGGGATAATTGTTACTAATGAGGACCGCTATCACTATCGCTAGCAATAAACTCTATTAGGTCGACCTTCTCGCGGTACCTCCCGGAAACCATCTTGGATAATTCATAGCGAATACCTTATGATAGGCTAACTGGACTGAATCATCCTCGCCAATCATCCTTCATTGGTATTCGGCCAATGTATTCTGATAGCCATTTTTACCAAAAAAAAAAAAAAACAAATATCCCGGGATAGATATATACAATTATCGTATGGTATCAATATAGGTATGATAACTAATGTGATAACATACAATTTAATATTATATTGGTAATACCTCAATATATATATATATATATATATATATATATATATATATATATATATGAGCATTATTCAGTAGCATTTCAAGTAATGTAAAGAGCATAATATTTATAAGAGTATTATATAATGTTGTGAATTTTCACTATGACACCTCATATATATATATATATATATATATATATATATATATATATATATATATATATATATATATATATATATATATATATATATATTGAGGTGTCATAGTGAAAATTCACAACATTATATAATACTCTTATAAATATTATGCTCTTTACATTACTTGAAATGCTACTGAATAATGCTCATGTCTATAGGCGACCGTTACCACTTTCCATCAGGTGGGCCGTCAGCTTATTTGCCATTCTAAGTTGTATAAAATAATAATAATAACTTTTGTAATACCTAATTTAAAAATATAAGATACCAAGTGTTATCTAGCAGATAACGTCGTGATAATGAACCCAAAATGAATGTCATTAATATTTTTGGCTATAGATTTCTAGAGCAAAAAAAAAACAGCTTATCTATATGTTACACAATATTTACAAATTTTACAACATTGGCCATCTACAAAACAAATTACTATAATATAACTAAAAACATTTCGCGTTTAGACTTGAAGCCGTTTTTTGTTAATGAGCAATAGACCTGTAGGCACATACTTTGCTTAATCTCAGTAACTTTTACATATTAGTTAATTAATGATCATATATATTGTAAAAGGTATAGCATGAAATACTTTAGAAAGGGCGTAAATTGGTTTCTTAAAAATCAGAAACGTGCACGTGTTGGTGTTGCATGCGTCCATAGTTTAGCTAGGTAATCGTCTACCATGAGCTGTATTTTGCTTGTCACCATTATACGAGTAAAAAAATATCTAATTAAGCATTGTTTTTCATTACAGGCCCCTAAACCTGCACCTCCGTATCCTGGCTTATATGATGCAATTCACAAAGTCGACTGTTTACAACCATCTATCAATGGACCAGATGTAGGTATCGAAGATTGTTTAGCACTGGATGTCTTCACAAAAAATGAAACCGCTGGTAAACCTGTTTTAGTTTGGCTTGAAGGCGAAGGATATTTGTCATCCAGAATGACATACTCCTTCAGGCAATTGGTCATGGAAGATACCGTTGTAGTATCATTAAACTACCGCGTATCCATTTTCGGATTTTTATGTCTCGGTGTACCGGGAGCACCTGGAAATGCTGGCCTTAAAGACGTCGTATTAGGACTCCAGTGGATTAAGGAAAATATAGCCAATTTCGGAGGAGATCCAAATAACGTTGTACTTCTCGGACACGGCTCTGGAGCTGCAATAGCAGATTTGCTAACTTTATCACCACTGTCACAAGGATTAATACATAAAGTAATTGCTCTTAGTGGATCAGCATTGGCACCCTGGGCTATATCTTACGACCCAATCGGTTCTGCCGAAATTGTAGCAGCGAAACTTGCTTACTCTGGAAAACCACTAACGGATTTGGCAGAGTTATTGAAAACCGTTCAATTGGACGTACTATTACATACGCTTAACGTTGAATTCACAAACAATACTGTTCTATTTGCCCCTTGTGTAGAGGATTCCACACTAAATAGCACTTTTTTGCACGATGCCCCTGTAAACATACTGAAGTCTGGTAATTACAGCCATGTCCCTTATTTGGCTGCTTACACTGACAGAGAGGGAACGATAAGAGCGAACGTATTAAATGATTGGCGTCCCAAAATGGAAGCGAACCTAAGTCAGTTTATTCAAGCTGATTTAGAATTTGGCTCAGAAGAGAATAGGACGAACGCGGTGGATTCTATACGTAAATTCTATTTTCGAAACACCACAAGCATTGATGTTGAAGATTACCTAGACTTTCACGGAGACACCGCAGTTCGTATATCCGTCATAAAAGGTGTACAGGCAAGAGCTGCGACCTCGAAGGCTGAGGTTCGTTTATTAGAATTCGCTTACAGAGGTTCAACAAATGAAAACTGGCCTTATCCAGCTGTACCATTAAATGGTGTGAAGCACGGAGGCATCCTGGAATATTTGTTTGATATCAATATGAGTGAAGAGGGAGCGAAAGCGATGGCCTCGCTTGTCAAACACTTTGTAACGTTTGCACGAACAGGGTAAGTCATTATATAAAATTTTGTTGTTTATTTTCGTAATTATATAGGACATGAAATCAAAACCATTAAGATACTTTTTTGAAAGAGCATTTTATCAGTAAAATTGAATATTTTTAAAATAAAGAAACGTATGTCGAAAGATTATAAAAAAATGTCTCTCCATGGTAACATAGCACGTTCAGCTATTAAATCAATAAAAAATTGTTTGTCTTCTTCAACTAAATATCTTTTGAAAAAAAAAATTGAGTTGCTTTTCTTGAAAAATGCTATGCTAATGATTTCATGTTCCTCTTTATTTTTAAATCACTTCCAAATGAAGGATAATGTCAATTCCTCTGAATTTTTTATGTCTATGTTACGCCAATTCTAAATCGATTTTAACAAAATGCATAGTTTTTGCAATCAACGGTATTTGTTCCTTTTGTACGGTACGCTAATGATGATGACTAAATCTCGCATTTTTCTGTTTTGCAAAACACCGTATTATATAATTCTACACTAACATGGACGCGATTGGGCGTTCGTAAATTCAAATAATTTCTAAATATAATGTATGTAGTACTTCGAAAAAAAACCCATATATTTACTATACTTTAATACAATTAAAATTAATTTAGAATTTTTGTCTGTTTGTCTGTATAAACATACAGACAGTTCCGGCATCAAGAAAATCTACTGTCCAAATTGAATTTGATTGTGTTACCTGAATGTCTAACTTAAAATCTAGTATATGTTTCATCTTAACACGCTATGTGGAAGTGGTATATTACATTGATTTACCTATTTCTGAAATCCACGCCTACGACGTTGCAAGCAAAAAGCTAGTCACCAGTACGTGTGTGTTTACAATTAGAAATGCTATTTTTGCCTCCTATACCTAGTTTATCGTGGTCGACTAATCAACTGTGTTTTCGTATGAATGTTCACAATACATTCATCTAACTTATTTTAGTCATTTTTTCACCACCTTCCAAAAAAAATCTTAATTTCCCCTATATTTATAATATTAGTTAGAGATGGGCAATCCACCTGGGTGGGTTTAAAGTCTGGTGGGTAAAAACCGGGTGTTTTGGGTTTATTGGGTTTAAACCCCATAAACACCCAAATTTTTGGGTGTTTATGATTTTGTACTTCATCATCGTCATCTCAGCCGCAAGACGTCCACTATACTGGACATAGACAATATTATTATGCAGCCTACAGAATAAAAAACTTTTAATTTGATTTTGAGTTTATTAAGAAAGAGATGAAAGTAAAATGTAAAACTACAGTCAATCACTGTCAGATTCAGAGTTATTACAAGCGATGAATTGTATAGGTTCGATAGGCTCTATTTCGTCTAAACTGTTATGTTCATTTACTTGCTCAATGAAAGCTTCTAAGGTATTTTCTTCATTAAACTGAATGTCCTCGCATTCAGCTTTATGTTTAAGATTCCAGTTATAACAAATGAATGAAATTTTTTCAGTTCTTTCAGTTGTAAGTCGATTTCTTTTGTTATTATGTATGTAGCCTTGGATACTAAAGGAACGCTCAGTGGCTGCCGAAGTACAGGGAGCTGATAGAATACGAATCGCTACTTTGCTTAACTCAGTGGAACCACAAATACCTTTCCACCATATTAGGGGCTCAATGCTATCTAATGAGCTCCATACAAATCCTCTGGCCCAAAAGTTTTCTTTAGCTTTATAACACGCCAAATCTGCCATTACATTTGACAAACTTAAGTGTTGGCTTAAATTGTAGATAAACTCCATACCCTTAAGTTCTTCCTCTTGAGTAAGTTCGACTCCTAGAGTCCTGGGGTCTAGAATATATGCTGCAAAATGTATTGGCCTCATTGCCATATTGCATCTTGAAGATACTGATGTTAGAATCTGCTGTTTGCTTTCTTCGCTCAATGTCGAAATCTCATTTAATGCAAAACGTATCTTAGCTTGTACATCTCTAAATGTAATGTATGTGCGATGCAAACGATTCTGGTCGCTCTCTAAGTAAAATATGCTTTCAGTGACTGGTTCCAAAATACTTATACATTCCCCTGTCTTCGTCCAGAAATCATCACTTAGAATTAAATCTTTAATATCTCTTGAAATTACCACATCTTCTCTAACTGTTAATATTTGCAAAGCTATCTTATTTGCTTTCAAACTTTTTAACGAAGTAACATGACTTCCCCATCTTGTAGCACAAGGCAATTTTAGTGTTTGTGTAGAATCTTCACCCTGCCTTGATTTTATCAACAAGGAACTTAATCGTTGACTCCTTTTAACAGTTTTTATTATATTTATGGCTTGCATAATAAACACAGTTACTTCTTGTATCTTTACAATATCTTGGCACAACAAGTTAAGGATATGTGCACAGCAACCGAGAGGAACAACATGTGGATATTTGAGTTTTGTTAATTCGAATGCCTTTTGTATATTTCTAGCGTTATCGCCAATAAGTACAAGAAACTTATTTGCTCCATACACTTTCATTACTTTTTCAACTTCTTGGCTAAGGTATTCACTAGTGTGAGGATTACTTTCTGTATTCAAACTTTTAACGTATGCAGATTGAGGTTTTGATATAAGAAAGTTTATTATTCCTTCATTTCTTAAATTAGACCAGCCATCGCACTGAAGGTGTAAGTAACTACAAGCATTTAGTTCCTCATTTAACTCAAAACGCATTTCTCTATATATTTTATCTAAGTATTTTGTCGCTAAAGCTTTACGTGAAGGTATTTTAAATTTTGGTTGCAATTTTTCGAAAAATTGTATTCATAAAGGATGTTGCACCATCGATAATGGCGTCCCTGTTACAAATATAGCTCTCGCTAATTCTGTTTTTATATGATCATCGGTGTCTTGAAACTCAGCATTTATTGTAGTGTTAGCAGACGACGAGGGGCTTATAAAAGAATCATTTGTCTCTATCTCTGACAGTCCAGACATTTTGGTTTTGGACGAGCTATCTTTTATAAGTTTCATAGAGTCTTTTAATGTTTCTGGAGATTTTGGACAAGTGATAAGATGTTGAAGCATTTTGGCAGCATTACTGAATTTGTAGACCTTATTACAAAGCTTGCAAGAAACAGACTTGTTTGGTAAAGTACGGTAGTGCTCCCATATGCGTAAATCTTTAGGTCTCCCCATTGAACCTAAAAAAATGAACGATGATTAGTTGGTCTGACGAAAATTCAACAATAGAGTGCCTATTTTTTTACAATGATTATTTCTTGTTATTTACAATAAATTTATTAAAAAAATAATAAAATAAATACAAAAAACCTTTGTAAAATTACATCTCCTCGGAGGATTAAACGCAGACGCTAGTTTATTATCGTATTGTTCTGTATTTTTCTCAGCAACTTCTTTAATTCGATTAGGTACTTACGCATATTATGTTAAAAATAAATATCTAGTACACATCTTAGGTTATCCACCATTATTATCCAATGACGACTCTCAGCTAACTATGCACTATCATCCAAAATAAACGTGTATGGAAAATTTTATCCCAGTCGGTTGAGGATTGAGGATAATTGCATCAACATACGAACATACCTACATACTTTTATTTACATAACGCAAGCTAAATAAAAGCTTGTAATAATACATCTAATTTTAAGTTAAAATTGTTAAGTGATCATGATATAATTGTATCATTCAAAAATCCACTTACCTTTAATTATTTCTTGTTAAGTATAAATATTATTTCAAATCTGCTCCCTTAATATGCACTTTTTTACTGCTTTTCCTACCTAACACGTTACCAGGAAGTCACGTTACCAGAGTCAGAGTAATAGTGAACACGTTTGACAGTGATTGTCGTCGCCTCATATTCAGCGTCGACGAATAGGGGAATCCCCAGTCATAATGTATTGCATGCGTGGCGGTCTTACTTCAAATCCATAAACAAAGAGATAATTACAGAACTCGATACTAGATGGCGCTGTTTTTGTTTGAAGAAAGTTTGCGGGCTAAAATACATAGAATTTCATCAATGACTTCCACAAAGAACAACATTTCTGTTTTTTCTAAGTCCGTATCTCTTCCGTATATTTCATAAGATATAAGCTTGGGCTACATTGTTATGCAACGTGATTTTGTCGCTGTCTTGCTAGCAGGGTTGACAGATATACGATTTAAATCGTACTCATACTATTATTTGTCTATTTTTTAATGTACGATCGTAAAGATTATGATCGTAATTCGCACAAAAACATACGACTTTTTGGTTACCTGGCAACATTTTTATTATGAAACGAACATGCTCACATCATCAGTCACATGCAACAATTTATTGGGGATTTCCCCTTCACATCTGGCAGTCCTGCTTGCTAGAATATAGGTAAGTCAGCCACAGTTACTGACGATCGATATTTAAAGGGTATTGTTTTTGTGCTAAATATTTCATAAAAACGTTATTTAATACTTTGTGGATTATTAATTTAGTTGATAATCACTGGAAGTAAAATGGATGCTAATTTGAGAGATCAAGATCTTCGTATAAAACAGTTAATAAAAGAAAATCTACGTAAGTACTCTTTTTATACCTAGGTAGGTAAGGTATAATAAACACAAAAGGTACTTAGATCGCGTGTGTTCGAAGCATTTATTCTAATAAATTTAATTTAAAATTGTAGAAAGAAAAAAATGTCTGCCAAGCCGTAGCCGAAGCCGATCTCCAAATATATTTGGCGATAGTGAGACCCAGTGTCCAGATGATTTACCCAGCGTCGTCGCAACAAAGAAAAACAACGAGGATAAAGTAAAAGAAAATTTACTGAAAGAAGAAACAAACTGTTCTAAATGCTTAATTTATGGAGAAGAGGATAAAAGAAATGAGTATTTCGGACTGTTAGTGGCTCAAGAATTTAAATATATACGGCGACATGTGTGCGAACGAGGTGTTATGAAGAAATTTTAAAGTATCTACAGGAAGCAAAAGGCCAACATGTTGATCAACTGCAACATGAAAACACTGAAAATTAATTACTTTCATTTTATTATATATAGATTTTTAAAATTTCCTGAAATATTATTAGTTAACGTTTTATTTAATATTGTAGAATTGATCAATACAATTTATAAAAATAATTTATTGGTATTACTTACATATTTTCAAAAAAATACGTAAAAACCTATTTTTTTGGGTGATTATGGGAGTTTATGGGTGTTTATTGGGTTTTTACCAAAGCACCGGGTTTAAACCCGGTGCTTTGCCCATCTGTAATATTAGTATATTTAGTAACTCGATTACAATGTATAAAAAGCTGATTAGGGTAATATGAAGAATTCAATGTGACAATATTTGCATCTTAGTATTTTTTTTTTAATGCTGTATATCGAACTTTGTGCTCTATATATAATAGGTATTAGTGAAAACTTTATTGGTTACTAAACACTTATTATCATAATTTTTCTGTTAATTGTAGGCATAGGTAATATGGATACCGTTCCGATATTTATATATTGGGTTCTCCTGACATTGATGGCGGGAAAAAGGTCATTACCCATTTCGATATCATCCATATAGGTCGAATATCTATTTTCGAATATATTAAAAGTTGTCCAATATTATTTTTTAGATAACAGACTTTTAACAAATTCATTATTGGACGAGTATATAGTTATTGTAACATAATAGATATTATAGTGAATTGCACTGTTTGTTTCCTAAATAAAATTAAAATAAAATACTAATTCACGTGGCTAAATAAGTATAAAAACTAAAACTGCTGTCATTCATTTTCAGAACACCCAGCTCCAACGCATTCCCTGGACAACAATGGCTACCACTCAAGAATGAAGACTTGAACTACTACTATTTCGGTGGAGCCTACAATCAGCCGCACATAGAAGAATTGAAAAAGAACCCCCATACTCAGAGAATGGAGTTCTGGAATGATCTATATGACCGTTACTATAAGGCTCCGAGTCGCGTGTCCTCTGCGCCCAAGTTCGCCGCTGGAGTTACATTGCTGTTTTGTATAGCCATTCTTGCCATTTTTTAACTTTTCTATACTCATTTTTTTTTGTATTTAAATATGCTGTTGTTACTTAATAATGATAGATGTTTATTATATTATTATACGATAAGTATTATAATACATATTAATCTAATTAGATTAATGACAAAGTATTATTTAGAGACTTAAGATAGTAAAACTACAACATACGTATTTCTACACACGTTATATATCGCTGTACATATTTTTATGAAATTTAATGTGGCGACAACTCAGGGCTAACATGTAGGGTACATTTTATCTTATAGTTTACATCCAAACACATAGATATAATGTAAAAATTATGATATTTACACAATGAAATTCATTTTAGTTTAATTAATTTAATTCCATCAATTAATTATTCGTAAAACGAAAGCAATTCCATAAGATTTTTTAATAAAATCATGCAAACAATATGACAATGTGTAACTTCTGTCGAAAAAGCTTTGACACCAGTATATAAATTACTGTAACAATTACAATGTAAATCACTACAGTAGTTTCACATGACGTATTAAAATAAGTTTCATAAAATAAATTTTATCATACATACAACTAATTTTGTACTTTTATAACTTTAAAAGGAAGACGTAACACAAAAATGTATAGCTAGTTAAAACAACATTTTATTATAATGAGCCAAATTAAGTTTAACATCCTAAAGAGACTTTTAAGTTAATAGATTAATCCTACTATACGAGTATAGTAAATAACTCTTTATTGTACATAAAAAAGGTAATATCAGAATAACAATTAAACATAATAGTGCACAAGAGCGAGTTTATCTCTAAAAGAGATTTCTTCCAGCAAACCCAATATGAGGTAAACTGACAGTTTATACGTAGTTACAGGCATAGATGTGTACAATACTCCTTTGTATTAACTATTCAAATCGATTTTGAAATATTAATAACATTTTTAATAATCTGCAAATCTCGTTCAAGTCATGCAATACCACTACCAACTATATTCATAATTATTAGGTAGCGCCGGCCCCTAGCCCTTGACCAGTTTAAAGCGAATTTTTTTTTATATAACTTAGAATGGCAAACAAGCTGACGGCCCACCTAATGCAAAGTGGAAACCGTCGTCCATAGACATGAGCAGTACCATGGACATAACAGAGTATACTGTTTCGCCCATGATACCCCCCATGCGTTGCTATTCCTGAGGACTCAGATGTTATTCCTCTGCGCCCTGTAAATTCACGCCATATCCCACCTTTCAAACCGAAACACAGCCATGCAAACACAACTGCTTTACGGTTGAAACACGAATGGGACAGAGGTACCCAAGCAAACTACTTTTGTACAAAGTCTCCCTCTGGTGTCTTTGTCTTTTGCTCTAAACTTTAGTCATGTCACATGAATTTCTACTTCGAGATATAGGAGAATTATAGAGGAAAGACTTGATTGTTAGTTTGGTTTCTAATGGACATTTATTTTTTATTTCAAATACCAACACTGCCCCAGAGCCTCTAAAATGGTGTCAAATTAAATTTTGCGCCTATAATTGTTTTTCGCATTTAGCTTTTTGGCGCTCACTATCACGTGGCGTCTAGAGCAACTGCTTCGCTCTACCACAGGGCGGGCTCTTCAATAAAGAGACTGACAAATTAAGGAATCGAGTGAATGAGAGCATTATTTATGTAATCCCATTTTTAAAAGCAACCAAAGTACGTTTTGTATTATGTAATTAAATTAAACCAAATAAAATCTAGTTTAATGTAATTAAATTAAATATCACGTTATTAAACTGAATATGGATTAATTAAATTTAATTATTACAAATTATAATGAGGTCGATTAATTACACCTATCTTTTAATCTAATATTTTAATTTGATAGTTTCACGAAATGACTGTTTTATAGATCACTATAAACTAAATTTACGAGTATAACAATTTTGACTTAAATATATTAGTAAATTTAGTTTATATTGGTACTTAGAATAAGAATTTGCTAATGTATTATATAATATGAAATTGAAATTTTTATTTTAGAGGTATGTTTAAAGAAATTACTCCTTTTAATTGAAACCAATCCAGTATATTACAATGCAATATTGCAATTATAATAAATAACAACAATAAGCTAAAGCATTATTAATTATGTATTATTATGTTATATTACGTGGTATGTTGTTGTTTTTAATAATTAATTATTACCGTTTATTATTATTATTTTTATATTAAATATTTGGAATTTGATAAAGAAATTATTATCATTTATACTTTATTGTACACAAAAAATTACAAACATACTAGTATAATTTATATTAAATGAAGATGTACAACAGGCGAGCTTAACTCTGTAAGAGTTCTCTTCCAGCAAACCCTGAGCAGTTCTATCTATACTAATATTATAAAGCTGAAAAGTTTGTTTGTTTGTTTGAATGCGCTAATCTCAGGAACAACTAGTTCGAATTAAAATATTTTTCTCATGTTGGATAGTCCATTTATCGAGGACGACTTTAGGCTATATAACATCACGCTGCGACCAATAGGAGCGAAGTATCAGGTGAAAAACGTTGCAAAAACGGGGGAAATTATTAATTCTTGAGGGCTTCCGTTGCGTGCGCTGCGAAAATGGTTCAAGATACGAAAATTATATGTATGAAAGAATTATTCCTCTTAAAATGATCTAAAAAAAAGTCCGCGACAGTATATGTCTATCTTTTAACATTGACTTACTGTAACATTTTTTATGGTAATCAAATTTGGTCGAAATTAATGCATTATTGCCAATTATTTGCCAAAGAGTTTTATCAACATAATATTAATCCTTATTATAATAATAGAAATTGACGCGGACGAAGTCGCAGGCAACAGCTAGTTATTTATATAGTAAAGAATTTTAAAAACAAAAGAGTTTTATGTATGAACGATCTTAATTTTGGACTGAATTTACACATAAAGGTTGTTAGACTTTGTCATGGTGGAAGCTAGTGTTATTTAAGTCATGCAATCCCCATACAACTATTCCCATCTATATATTACACAATTTTCCGTAAGTAAAAATAGTTCTTATACTTCAAATAGTAAGTCCAAACTTGTGTGACACATGCTCCAAAATGATATGTCAGTACTGTCGACGAATTTATACCCTGCTTAGCATAAAATAAGATGCCCTTTCCCGTAACTCCTCTGAATTGAGATTCTGACAGACGTCATAGGCTCCTAAGGGACAAATTTATATGCGTAAATCCTCGTGAAAATACCATCCCGATCTCTCGATCTCCAGTTCTGTCTGGGCGTTTTCTACCTTATTACATAATGATAAGGTGTAAAGTGAAATATGAGATATTTTAGATGTGAGAGTAAATCCGGTATCGCATCCAAAGTAATAGCATTGATATTGAAGGTTCAAGCGCCTAAAAATAATTTAGTGATTTAATTTTGCCATCGAATTGTCAATTAGGAATGCATTTTACAATAACTTCATCATCATCATCATTTCACCCATTATCCATCCACTGTTGGACATAGGCCTCCCCATAGATAGCTATAAGAAACGGCCCTAGACCACCTGTATCCACTGACTCCCTGCAATACATTTGAAGTCATTATCTAGTGGGAAATTGTCCTACACTGTTTGCCCGTATGGGGTCGCCATTTTAGAAGCTTACTTCCCCATCGGTTATCGGTTCTTCGTGCTACGTGACCAGCCCATTGCCACTTCAGCTTGCTTATCCTTCGACCTATGTCGGTTATTTTGGTCCTTCTACGGATATCCTCTTTTCGGATTCTATCAAAGCAACTCCGAGCATAGCAATTACAGAATAACTTACCCAATAAATATTCTCTGGTATAGGTATTCCAACAATGATATGTCACTTACCTGAAAAACAAAAAGTAATACATAAACAAAAAATTTTTTGTTTCTTAATTCTTATAACTAGATAAAACAGTATTTTTTATTTTATTTTATTTATTTAAGGCAAAGAAACAGCTAAAATAATACATAATTATATAGTTAAATAGTAATTTGGTAGCCACTAGAATTTGCACAAAATAAAATACAAGTAAACAACACACAAAATTAGACAATACTAAATTAAACAAAATTAAACAAACTATTAAAAACAACAGCAACATTGTCAATAATAATGCTCAGAAGCTAATAAAACATTTTTTCAGAAAAACATTAAATAGAAATTAACCCTTAAATAGCCGAAGTTTCGAATTTGATACAGGGATTTGCATTGTTTTATTGTTAAATAAATTTTAATATTTTGATTACCGTAATGCCTAAAGTATCAAAAATAATACCAAATGTTTTTTTTCAAAATAAATATATAAAAATATCGTTTTGATTTTTTTTTCTATTTTTCCCGATTAGTAAACTCAGTAAAGGGTACACTTATATATTTTTTAATTTGATTTAAAAAAAATCGGGCTTTTAAGGATTAATTTACGCGGTGAAACTAGATTTGTCCAGTCTACTTAAAATTAATTTCATAATGTAACTTAGTTTTATGAAACAAATCCTTACTAATATAAAAAAACAAGCTGTATACTGTTGCTTCGCCTACATAAAATAGTGCATAGAGTATGCTATGTGATAAGTTAATATATGACCTATCCGTGTGCCAAATTTAATTCAAATCCGTTTAGTAGTTTTTACGTGAAAGAGTTACAAACATCCATCCATGAATTTATCTATATATACAAATTTTCACATTTATAATATTAATAGGATGTTAGAACGAGTTTGTTAATTTATTACTTCTTAACGCCTTAACCACTTAACTAATTACTTGCTATGAAATTTGGTATGCACGTACCATGTGGGTTGAACATTTTTTTTATATAATTTAGAATGGCAAACAAGCTGACGACCCACCTGATGCAAAGTGACAACCGTCACCTATAGACATGAGCAGTACCATAGAGCAGTATATAATAGAGTATACTGTTTCGCCCATGATACCACTCATGCGTTGCCATTCCTGAGGACTCAGGTGTTATTCCTCTGTACCCTGTAAATTCACGCCATATCCCACCCTTCAAACCGAAACACAGCCATGCAAACACAACTGCTTCACGGTAGAAACACGAATGGAACAGAGGTACCCAATCAATCGACTTTTGTACAGTCTCCCTCTGGTAATATACGGATATAGGCTACATTTTATTCTGGTCAGTGAATATATCCTGCGGGTATACCATGAAATGAAATTCCGAAATTTCGGATTCAATTTCGTGTTTTTGTTTATACCAAAATCGGACCAATAAATGGAGTTTAACATTTCGTTCGTCATACATCCTATCATAAAAGTCCAAAGGAACAATATTTTAATATTTCCAAACGGCATGTAAGTATTATGTAATTTTAACATCAAATTTGTGTTTTGTTTGGCTCCGAAATTTCGGAACACATTTCTTGGTACGCCCTCTGATCACGCAGACGAAGTCGCAAATAAATGATAGTTATTAATAAATCCATATTAGTTTTCCTTCTTTTACGTCGACTCACAATAGATATTTCCCATAAAAATACTCATAAAACTATCCACTCTAAATATCAATCTACCACATAAATCTGAAGGTCCCTGTACTACTATTTTAAGGTAAATTGTTGGGCTAATATTGTCTCAATATATCAGTAAGGTTTTGGTTTCAATAAGGAAGTTTTTTTCTAAACAATACAAAGATTTTGATAATTTCAACCCTATAACTACGGGATATAGTTCATTTCCCTTTATTCGGACACTGGGGGTGTTAAAGGGCAATAGGTGTGCAGACGTAAATCTTTAAAAAGTATGTTTAGGGTACAACGAGCCCTTAGGGTTTCTTGGTGGAATAAAAGTACCAACACTTTTGGATTGCGAGCGTATTATTTGTTATTCCATGGATAATAAGGGTCTGTCTTTGTAATATATTGACGTGGATGTATGCGTCAACATATTAGGAAAAGTGTCAACAAAATAGTGAAGGATAGAATTTAAAAACAAAAAATTGTAATATGAAAAATTTTACACCATAAAATCATCATGATAATGGCTAATATCCAAATAAATTCTTTATTCCAAGAAGCAACATGAACTAAATTTGTAATAGATTTAAGTCAAATTTATAATAAACTTAGTTTATAATGGTTCATAAAGCAGTAATTTCGTGAAAACATCATATTAAAATATAAGATAAAAAGATTAGTTTAGAGCAGTTATTTAATTTTTTTCATGACACGACCCATCCATCCCCTATTTTTTTTTTGTTTTGAATGGATAATAATGGAATGGTAACCCCACCTGTGCGGTATACACTGGTGGGGCACCAGTGAGGGATGATAGATGAGGATGAAAACAGATCCGTTGGCCCATCATGATGAATTCAAAAATAAATCAATCACGATGGTTTCCAGGGGGAACCGCGAGGAGCTCGACCTGATAGGGTATATTGCTAGCAATGAGGTTGCTAATCCCCATTACTAACAATTTTTTCTCCTCCCCATCCCCTTTAGTATGGAAAAATATTTCGCGACCCACGACTTATTTTTTTGTTAATTTGTAATTAACATACAAATGTTTTAATTATCATTATTTTTTATTAATATATTTTTATAACTTTTTTTTTTATACTGGGGTAGTTTTCGTGACCTTTCTATAGAGGCTTCTCGCCCAGGGGGTCGCGGCCCACACTTTCTTAAACACTGCTAAAGAGAATCGACCCCATATCACTAAAAATGTAGTAAAGATACTGTAATTGTGAAAGTGAATTTGTTTGTTACCTTTCGACGAATTAACGGCTTAACAAATCATTATGAAATTTAATAGACACGTAATATTTAATATATGGGATGGAAATAGACATAGGCTATTTTTTATTCTGATCACGCGGACGAAGCCGCGGGTAAAAGATAGTGTATCTATAATCATAGCATCCTGAATTTCCCGCATTATATTCACGATGTAACTTTCTCTGTCACGCGGTGAGATAAAAAAATGTGTAATGTAATGAAAAATACTTATTACTCTTTTAGATTTTACTCAACGATATCCACGAATCCAATTTCATCAATAAATGCAATATATATGGCCATGTAAAGTTATAAGGTAAGGGAAGGGATTGGACGCGCGAATAGCGATGCTCCCATCACGCAGAACCAATCTGTTTTTGTACAGACAGCAAATTAAAATTGACACCTAAAAATGTACAAATTATTTGACCGTGTATGTCTGTGATTTTTATAGTGGCGTTCATGTTTACAGATGACAGCCACCGTTTTGTATCAGGATTTTTAATGGATGATAATGGAACGATGACCCCGCCTGCGTTAATAGTTAATATGCGCTGACGGGGCACTAGTGAGAGATGACAGATGAGAATGAAAAGACAGGTCTTTTTTTAAAGACGATAATGGAATGGTAACTCAGCCTGCGCTAACGGTATGCACTGGCGGGGCACCAGTAAGGGATGACAGGTTAGAATAAAACGACAAGATCTTTTTTTTAATGGATGATAATGGAATGGTAACCCCGACTGCGCTAATGGTATGCACTGGCGGGGCACCAGTAAGGGATGACAGTTGAGAATTAAAAAGACAGATTTTTTTTTAATGGATGATAATGGAATGGTAACCGCCTTTGCGCTAACGGTATACGCTGGCGGGGTATCAGTGAGAGATGATAGGTGAGAATGAAAAGGCAGGTCAATTAGCCAATCGTGATGAATACACCTGGAATTCAGTAGTATAGGTTAATACCCATATAACAAAAATGTACACAGGCGGACTTATCGGTTAAAGGGATTTCTTTCAGTCAACCTTGAAAACCCGAAAGGAGAAGTATCTATAGGGTTTGTATGAAAAGCATAACATCTATAGTGTAAAAATAATACGATAAGTAATAAATTATTACTAGCTATACACTTAGTATATATTTGAGGCGTAGAAAAAAAAATTGCACTGTATTTTTATGCTGTCTGTATCAGAAATTACTAGATGCAGCGAACTCACCTGCAGGAATTTTAATCTATGGCACAACAGCTCCACCCTTTCCAAACAAGCTTCGACAAACAAACAGATTGTTTGCTTTTTTCGTTTACTCTTTACTAACATTATTATAATATAATGTTATCCAAGAGTTAACAATATAAATATTGTCAACTCTTGGCCCCGGGTGAGAAGGTGTTGTAAGTATGGGGATCTAGTAGCCCCATTACTAGAAATATAGGGTATATATCAATATACCCTATTATTATATTCATCATGAAAAAATACCAGAGGGAGACTTTGTACCAAAGTCGATTGCTTGGTGTTTGCATGGCTGTGTTTCGGTTTGAAGGGTGGGATATGGCGTGAATTTACAGGGTACAGAGGAATAACACCTGAGTCCTCAGGAATGGCAACGGATTGGGGGGTATCATGGACGAAACAGTATACTCTGTTATTTCCATGGTACTGCTCATGTCTATGGGTGACGGTTATCACTTTCCATCAGGTGGACCGTCAGCTTGTTTGCCATTCTAAGTTGTATAAAAAAAAAAAACACTTGTACTACATTACTTTCATACAAGTTAACACAACATACGACTTATGTGTACACACGACATACCTTTGATAACGTTTTGATTACCTACGCCGAAACCGGTCAGATCATATAGGTAGGTAGCTATGTACCTAAATTTATATATAATATTTATTTATTGGTACATCGACAATGTTACATATAATTCGTAATATAAATTTAATATTTACCACATTCTATCAGGTGGGCCGTCAGCTTGTTTGCCATTCTAAGTTGTATAAAAAAAAAAAGGAAAGATCGAATTAGTAATGAGGAGGTCCTACTTGGGGTTAAGGAAAAGAGACAAATTATAAAAATTATTGAGGTCAAAAGAGGGAAAATAGTAGGACACTTGATACGACATGATGAACTTATGAACATTATAACAGAAGGTAAGATAGAAGGAAGGAGGAGAAGGGGGAGACCAAGACACACAAGACTAATTGGTGTTGTGTCGTATGAAGAGGTGAAAAAGTAAAATATAATAAATAATAATATAATATATGAGATATCATAACCATACAGAAAAAGAATTCAAGTTACTAAAATAGCCCGTAGGATAAGCAAGCTGAAGTGGCAATAGGCTGGTTAACAGCTTGAAGAATCAACAATCGATAGGAAAGACAGGTTCTTGGGTGACTCTGTAACAGCAAACGCAGTATAGGACGACTCCCGCTAAATGAAGTGATGACCTCAAATACACTGGAGGGAGTCGATGGATCGTTCTTTATGGCAGTCTATGAGAGGACCTATGTTCAGCAATGGACAGAATTATCTGTTATTAGGCTGAGATAAATTC